CTGAACCACTTGTGAGGGGAGAATGTAATATACTTTCGTATATAACCTATATCAAACTGATATAGATAACTTTGTTCTCATAAGCAATAGTTTAGCTATTAAGTGGAGGCACTCAATAAATCATTTTGCTAAACCAACTATGATGTAAACCAACTTATCAAGAAGAACTATCTTGAATAAAAAAATCCGGAAATTATGCTCTATATTAAATTATTGAGCAAGTTACCTCGCAAACACCAGGTTGCGGGTCAATAATAATTGCACATGTAACCATCTCACAGATGCATCTTATGTGGTATACATGGCAGATGAATGGGCCCATATTCACCTTTGATATTTCCAGCATTCATGGGATTCAATCCCAACTTTAGTTGGTCAATTAATTAATGAGAACAAGCAACATTAGAGAATTCGTAAAGAACTTTCTAGTTCTTTAATATTTACCCATGTGAATTCTCTTTTATTTTTGCACATCATACTTAAATTGATATGACTAAACCAGCTATGCCAAACTGGATATCAATTAACTCCAAGTTTATTATGATATGGATTTTTATGGCAATAAACATCCACTTTAGTGTGGTATTCTTTTATTTGTGTAGTACAAACTGGAGAATAAAGCGGGTAGCTTTTCACATACATATTATCCCGCTACAAGTTGTAGTAATAGAAGATATTAAATCTTTCCTTTATTTATAGTCTCAATATAATTAACCGCTTTCGCGTATACTTCGGAAACTGAATAAGTTTCTTTGAGACTTACTACAACACAATATCTTATTTATAATCAATTTTATTTCTCCAAAATAGTGATACTTGGCTCTTTCAAAGCTCTTAATTAATTTTTTACTACCACATATTCATCAACATCCATATGGTCATATATCTCTTTCAAGGAGAAAGTTATACCATTATGGTCATGGTCAAAATTATATGCAAGATATGTTTCTTGCATTATTGTTGTCATTTAATAATCACATTGCCAAAATATTTGGCGTACAATAGGTACATGACCAACGACTTCATGCCATAATAATGACATTATTTTCTTATATCATCTCAAACCTCCTTCTAGAGGTGAGTGCGGTATATTCACTACCACTAGCACGTGCATATTCTTTGAAGAATGAATATGTATTCATAAATCAGATGTTGTCACATTCACATCATGAATGGACCATAATCATCTATATGTGCTTTATAAAATCTCATGACAAATATTACTTTCACAGAGTGAAGGATTAGTTTGAGAATCCTTATTATTCTCATTATCACAATGATGACGATTATAATTTCGTCTATTGCCATGTCCACATCCATTGATACCTACACGGTAATAATTTTGTCTGCTTTCAGACTTATCACATATTGATATCACATTCTCTTAAGGAAATGAGAATGGAGCAAATTCAATGGGACGAGTTTTCACTTCTTGTGCTCACGATCATACATGACTTTGATCATGGCAAGACATAGAAATTTTACCACTTCGGGTGGTTATAATTTCTTATAAACTCCATTAGAATTGTAATCAAAATTTATTGTCTTTGCTTGTATTTAAAATCAAATTATAGAATAAAAGAGAAAAATACGGTAAAGTACTTACCTTAAATCCAGAATTTAATCATGAAGGAAGTTCATGGAATAATTGACAATCATTATGCTCAATCCCAAGGCTTCTACTCAATTGGTTAGAGTCTCATGCTGATAACGTGTTATAAAACAATAAAAGAAGAAGAAGAGTATTGCAGAGAAAAGTAGAGGGAGAGAATTCTTATTGATTTTTGGGGTCAATTACAATAGAATATAACCCTCTATTTATAGGTAGAGAGTGACTTAGCCACCAAATAATAAACCATAGAATCTCTCTAAATATAGACATTCACCATAAATAAAATTCCATTTATAACACTAATATTATTTTATCAAAATTTTCCTTTATTTACATATCCCAATGTGTCAAGGTAACAATATGCAAATTTTAATTAGGGATAATTTATTTTTTCTCTCGGAGTTAATATTTTCTTAAGGGGTGTGCCAAAGGCCAAAAAATCACTTATTATAGACCGGAATAAAACCAGTTGTTGTTGATACCTTCTTCTCGGTTCCTTCTTCCATAACCAGAGCTCGGAGAAGGAAGAGATAAGAGGGCCCTATGGAGAATGTGGTCAAAAATCCATAATAGAGTCCGACCACAACGACCGAATTGATTATCTTCATGCATAAGGATACTAGATTACCTAGTAGAAAAGACCCGAATCTGCGAAGCACCGGATCTAGATCAAGATCTCCATTACGTCGTACGATATATCGATCCGGAAGAAGTATGACATAAACTGAAATGGATGGAGCTTTTGTCAGAGCCAAAAAAAAAAAAGGAATGAAGAAAAAATTTAAAAAGATAAAAGAGGGTCTTCTCCACTTATTTTAATTAAAATGACATTTAAAATGTTGAGAGTGTTATAACTGAGATTTAAACTTACAATCTGTAGCCATCTTTAAGCCATTTTTACCACTATACACAAGAAGTCTTTCTTGTATCAGCAGGAGCCAACTATTTATGTATGTATCTAAATAATTCTGGTTTATACAGAGGTGACGTGACACTTCACCTAGGACAGGAGATGTTATATATCTTGTAATTCCTTCGTTTAAAAAAGAATGAACCTATTACTATTTTGGGAGTCAAACAAGTTCTTTTGGCCATATTTTTTGCAAATAATTTTTAAATTTTTTGAATTGTTAATTATTGTAACTTATGGTATTTTTTATTTAGTTTCTAAATATGTATATTTTATTTAAAAATACTTAAAGAATCTATGTCCGAATTCATATTGAAATATAGTCAATTTGACCGTTGTACTCCGAAAAGGTTAAAACCAAAACATGTTATTAGATTTTTGCCTTTTTTTCTCTTCATTCCTTTCCTCCCATTTAATCTCTTCAGCTTTTATATAAAGTTTCTGTTGGTTTTTTAAAGGGTGAATGGGAAATAGAAGAGGCACCTTTTGGATTGCACCTCTTCATCTCACCCTCTCATTGTCTATAAATTTAGAGGCTTGGCCTTATTTTTTATGCCGGGACGTTCGGCTACAGAAGCCATCTACCTTGTTAGGAGATTGATGGAGCAGTATAGGGAGAGAAAGAAGGACTTGCATATGATGTTCATCGACTTAGAAAAGGCGTACGATAAAGTTCCGAGGGAGGTTTTGTGGAGATGTTTGGAGGCTAGAGGTGTACCTGTTGCCTATATTAGGTTGATTAAGGACTTGTATGATGGAGTAAAGACCCGAGTGAGGACGGTGGGTGGGGACTCGGGCCATTTTCTAATTATGATAGGGTTGCATCAGGGGTCGGCACTCAGCCATTTTTTGTTTGCTCTGGTGATGGACGTACTGACGCGCCACATCGAAGGGGAGGTGTCGTGTTGTATGCTATTTGCAAATGATATTGTATTGATTGACGAGACACGAGACGGTGTGAACGCGCAATTAGAGGTACGGAGGCACACCCTGGAATCTAAAGGTTTCAAGTTGAGCAGGGCCAAGACAGGATACTTGGAGTGTAAGTTCAGTGGCGAGACTCAAGTAAGGGAAGGGGAGGTGAGGCTTGACTCGTAGGTCGTCCCTAGGAGAGGGAGTTTAAATTACCTTGGGTCTATTATTCAGGGGGATGGGAAATTGATGAAGATGTCATACATCGTATTAGGGCGGGATGGAAGAAATGGAGACTCACTTCCGGTGTTTTGTGTGACAAGAAGGTGCCACCGAAACTTAAGGGTAAGTTCTATAGAGTGGTGGTTAAACCAACGATGTTGTATGGGGCTGAGTGTTGGCCAGTCAAGATCGCTCATGTGCAGAAGATGAAGGTAGCAGAGATGAGGATGTTGAGATGGATATGCGGGCACACCAGGTTAGATAGGATCAGAAATGAGGTTATTCGCGACAAAGTGGGTGTGGCCCCTATTGAGGACAAGATGCGGGAAGCGCGGCTTAAGTGGTTTAGTCATGTTAAGAGGAGGAGCACAAACGCCCCGGTGAGGAGGTGTGAGGGGTTGACATTAGAGGGCCTATGGAGAGGTAGAGGTAGACCAAAGAAGAGTTGGGGAGAGGTGATTAGGCAAGACATGGCGCAACTTCAGCTGACCGAGGGCATGGCCCTTGATAGGAAGGTATGGAGGTCGAGGATTAGGGTAGTAGAGTAGGTAGTCTAGAGTGTTCATAAAAGTAGTATTGGCACACAGTCTCGCTTTCTATTGGTAGTAGGTTTTTATGACTAACTGTTGTTTTCTTTCATTGTTGATCACCTTACTGTCTTGTTGTTTTTATTCTGCTTTTATATGGCTTTTTGATACTGTCTCTTCTTGTGTATATTTTCATTAATGTGGTGCTTATGCTTTTCTGAGCCGAAGGTCTATTGGAAACAGCCTACTCTATCCTCATAAGGTAGGGGTAAGGCATGTGTACACACTACCCTCCCCAGACCCCACAGTGCGGGATAATACTGGGTATGTTGTTATTGTTGTTGTGGCCTCATTTTTTATATATGAAAAATCTGAACACTTCTCCCCTCTTTTCTAACATTGTTGCATTATTTTTCAAACAAATATAAGTGTTAAGTGTGATTTGCTCCATTTGTTGAGTTCGCCGAAATTATGTGATTTGTAGTGCCGCTATCACAGAATAGTTATTCTGTTCTATCTTGAGAGGAATTAATCTAAAACCTAGGGCAATAGTGAGGGGATTAAATTCCTTAAGGACACACAAGAAATTTGTGGGTTCGGACTTATTTTTGCAGTTTCTGTTCTAAGTTCTATTTCTTTGATTTTCTATTTTGGGAACACAGTTTTTTTTTTCCAACAGTTTCATTAAGTTCTACTTTTGAAACCATTTGATATACATTGCTGCCTTATACAAATTTATGGTTTCAACATTAAAAAAAAACATACAGTTAACAGAGAGGCTACATCCTTTATAGTTAAATCAAAACCAGACACAAAGTGATCCACAGAAGTTCAGTAATTTTATTTCTAATACAAAGGAAAATTCAGGTTCAGAACATTAAACATTCAGAACTAGATGCATATATATGTTAACATGTTAAACACTTTTGAAACTCAATCTGCAAACTTGAACTTAAATCATCTTAATATATGTGCAAAAAACCACGGCTAAACTCATCCGAATCTCCTCTAACAGGCATTCCATGTCTGTCCAATCGACCAGAACCCGGATACACGCCTTTGCTAGTGAAGTTGGTAGAAAAATTAGAACTATTTTGCAAGTTAGATCTTGAGTATATCTTTGTTGAGTTTGACATATCATATTGAGGTCTTAGTTTTGGTGCACTTATTGATCGCGTCTTTGCCTTAGCTGCCTCAGTATAAGACATGTAGTTTGGATGATTACTCGAGTAGCTTCTTGTGCCATCGGTACTCTTAGTTGGTGTAAATGGTCCTCGCCTCGAACGAGCATATTTCGATGATGATGAGTGAAGTTGTGGGCTAGTATCAGCAGAGGAGAAACAGGTTTCATCCAAGCTATAACTTAAGTTATCTGAATTTAAGCTTAGATCAGAGGAATAGAAGAGATTCCTATGTGTAGAAGTAATATATGGTTTTCCAATATCCATTCTGCAGCCCATATGGTTTGAAGAATTCCTCTGCATTAATACCATTTTATGTTAGGCAAAAGTTTATGCAAATAGATAAAGAGGAAAACATCCAAATTTACCTCTCTAGCATACGAAATACAACAACAACAACACGCGCAGTATATTCCCACAGTGTGGGGTCTGGGAAGGGTAATGTATATGCAGACCTTGCCCTTACCTCGCAGAGATAGAGAGGTTATTTTCGATAAACCCTCGGCTCACGAGAAGTAATTCACTTCAGGTCTAGCATATGAAATATTTTATTTTTATCTTCCTTTATATTTTAGGGTCATTCATATCCTTGTCATTAGCAAGTCGTTTCGTACTTGCCCTTTACCGTAACACTGCTCTATCATGGATTGGTTGGATTCCACGTGTCAAAATACATCACTAAAAAGGTCCAAACTTATCCCTCAAATCATCACTCTAGTCTAAATTAAAGTTATCTTCAATTATACTTCAAGTTATTGGAACTTTGTTAGGGTTATCGGCAAATACGAGACAGTTTGCTAACAACAACCGTATGAACGACATCAAAGTATAACGGAGGGTAAAGAGAGATATTTTCAACCGTTTTTCCTAGATATAATGCATCTCTAAAGTATAAAATATCCGGCCAATACCTCGAGCATAAACATTTCATCATTCTTCATGCTCCTTGCACGAATAACATGCTCGAATTTATCAGGAGTTGCAGGGCCCTATACACCAAGATTCAAAAATACAATTATTAAACTAAGACAAAATCTTTGTAAAACTAAATAATTTACCTCAATTAGTTGACAATTACTACAACTTGTTACTAATTAACTTATTTTCAAGCTTCTTTTCAAATTTGAAAAGGGAGGGGAAGGTGATATTTTACTTACATGATGAAGAAATTGAATAGACTTGGCGCTAAAATGAGGCGATTCAGAAACCTGAGATCGACCAGCACGAGCTCTCGACTGTGCTCTTATCAGCGCATGCATACGCCTTAGCATATCAGCAGTTTGCTTCCTCACAATATGACCTCGTACTAATGCCTGAAGCTTTACAAGTCCCTTCAATGCCCTTAATGCTCTCCTGGACTTCAAATTTAAATCACAAAATGGAAAATTAGTAAACTAGTAGTATGATCAAGTTTCGTCAATTTTGGTAACCAAATTGTACACTAGTGCATAGACGAAAACATGATCTAGAGTCTGTGAGTTCAGATACATTTTGATGTTTTCTATATTTTCGTATACATAGTTTGAGCAAAAAGGCGAAAGCAATGGTTTCCGTTAAACTGACATACTTACAGAAACTGTCTAGGTTCGCCTCTGCACTGTTGACTTATTGTAATATGATATCAAGTGACATTAAGTTCAAATATCAGGTTGTATCAAGAGAAATTAAAATACTAATTCCACAAACAAATGGAGTTGTTTTAGATATGGATGATTTTTTATGGACATTTGCACAAAAAAGCATGAAAATTTTCAAAAGTGATAGGCACATTCATTTTCACATCCCTTAAAAGTCTAAGTTTGAAGTTTTCAGAAAATTAGGACAATGGCCATTCACCAAACCTTTAAACATAATACGTGAGGAAAAATATTAATTCACACTAGATGTTTACACCAATTCAAATAATATATTCTCTCCGTTTCAATTTAGATGACGTAGTTTGACTCGGCACGGAGTTTAAGAAAAAAATTTGAAACTTGTGGTCATAAAATTTAAGGGATAAAAGCTTTGTGGGGCTGTGACATTTGTGTGGGTATAAAAGCTTCTTATTAACGGTAAAAGGGTAAAATGAAGAGTTTAAAATTAAATTATTTCCAACTATAAAAATATGTCATTCTTTTTGGAACGGACTAATAACGAAAGTGCCATCTAAATTGAAACAGAGAGAGTATGTCATTTACTTTTTAAATACGTTTTTATTACTTATCATGGTTAATTACTGTATACTTATCTTAATTTATTATTTAAAATAATTTGGTATAAACACCGAGTACGTATAAGTATTTGGATGCTTGTGTTCTTTTTGTCAAACGACATAACTTTCCTTTTTGTATTTATTTTGATTCTTTTTCTATGATAAAGAATCATCATAAGAGTGAAGCTAGTTTAAAAGCAACAAAAGAGTACCAATTGCCAAATTTGTGTAACATTAAATAGAGTCATCAAAAAACAGTCCCATGTGAGCTTTCTACAGCTTGTAGTAGTACTTGTCATTGCATAAATTTTAGATAGGTAAAAACTTACTCGCACCTGATATTTTCATCAAATGACATAGCACAATTATTTGATATAATTAAACATAGGATGCTGAAAGTGTAAGGGTAAGTGAAATGTTTGCGTATACTCTATTTTCCCCAAATCTTATTTGTGGGATTTCACTGGGTTATTATTATTATTGTAGGGATGCTGAAAGTGTTTTACTGTGCAACATACTACCAAAGGAAAAATTTGAAAGAGATTTATATAATTTTAATATATTCAGAATATAAAATTCTATCTTCTTACCGAAAAGATGATTATATGTGCTATTGATAGTAAGTGAAACTACCAACAAGGGTTGTGGTGGAGTGGTAAGTACTCCTTCATCCTTAACCAGATGTCTCGAGTTCGAGCCCCTGGGTATGGAGTCGCCTTTGTTAGGAAGCGCTTTACCCCCCTTAATGTGGGACTTCCCGGCGCGAATCCGGATTTAATCGGTCCCCAACGTGGGTACCGGACACCGGATGGGAAACCAAAAAAGATAGTAAGCGAAACCACTTTTAGTTGTCTATTTTTCACTTAGTACGCCGTTTAAAAAATAAATGAAGTATATATTTTATAATTTTACCGATAATAATGATAACCTTTTAAAAAGTTTTAAAAAATAATTTAGGGAATAAGCAGTTAATGATAAGAGTAAATTAGAAAAGAAAGATTGTCTTTCTCTTGATTTGGTAAAATAAACAAGTAGAAGTAATAATATATTTTTACTATAATGGACAAATAAAAGTAAATATAGGGAGTAAAATTAATTTATACAGTCCATATATATGAGTTAACTCTATAAGAAAAGTTGTGACTTACATATATTTCTCTAAGTACATAGATTAATGAATGAAACTCGAAAACTCTGCACCGACCACAAAATTTTCTAGTTTTAGATATTTAGGTCCACACGGGTCCAAACTAGTCTACTTTCCTCTTCTCTATACATTTCACACCAGAACACACACACACCCCACCCCCCCGCCCCACCCCCAAAAAAAACCCCACCCCCAATCGCCTACCCCAACAACCTAACTCCCAAAAAGAATTTTAAGAAAAAAGAATTATAAAAAAATTTGCACGTGGCAAATTTTGCACAAATCAACTATTCCGTTGAGTAGTATCGGATAATTCTGTTCATCACGGCTAAAGTAAAGAAAAAAAAATATCTAGTTTGTTTTTATCTTTCTTTGTCGGAATTTAAACCATAATCTCTCATGGTTATCGTTCTATTTCATTGACTGTTAGTTGACTATGGTCCCATTAACATTATGCATCCACTAACTTTTACAGAAAAATGTTAATCGTGAGAGTTGGATTTTCCGACGCGAATTTAAATTTAGTCGGGCCATAATGCAGATATCGGACATCGGATGGAAACTAAAAAAGAAAGGAATTGATCGTGTTATTAATTGTCCATGATATACTACTCCCTCTAGTCCAAAATAAACGATTTTTTGGATGTTTTCACCCAAATTAAGAAATCCACCTTTTAGCATTAATTAGCAATGGAATTGACCATATTAACCTTTACTATCTCACATAAACACTCCTAACACATATTCCAACGCCATTTACTTCAAGGACAATGTAGGGAAAAAATAATTAATTCATTCTTGAAATCTGGAAAAATCACTTATTTTGGACCACAAGAAAAAGGCCAAAAAATTACTTATTTTGGACCGGAGGGAGCAGTGAAATGTCCAATTTCTTTGCCCCAATTGTAACCAAACCTTCTACAACTTTTTCACCGTCCTTTTACAAATTACGAGTAAATTGTTCCTATCAAGAATTTTTGGTGGAATTCACAAATTGGAAAAGGAAAATTCATTTTATATGAAAATGTTCAAGACACGAGGCTCAAATTATAATTTAATTTCCAATGTGATTTGAGCATAAATATTTTAAATAAAATTTATATATTTAAAAGAACGAGACAAATATTTTGACAAACTTGTAGTTAAAAAAATTATTATTTGACGTGAAATGAAACAAAGAGAGGATTCTATTAACTAACCAGATAAGCTCGAAAATGTGACTGTATCACGACGGCAGCCCATTCTTCACGACCAAAAACGATACCGTTCAACGTCGTCAAGGCTGCTGTACCACCGCTGCTTGCTGTCGGCTCCACCACCTCTTCTACCGTGACAGGGCTGTTAGTGGGGTCCACTGCACAATGACATATGTAGCATATAATTAATGGGTTTAACTAAACTAGTATTTACGCAAAGACATATGCTCTTTTCGTTTCAATTTATGCGGGTTAAAAAAATATGATTTTAAAAATATAAAAGCATTACATTAAAAGTAAAATGAAAAATCTAATGTTATATTATTTCCAAGTATATGTGGAAACATTATTTTCTTCTCGAAACAAATTAATAAAGAAATAACACCACATAAAATAGAATATAGTATGTCAAAAAATCATTAAAGTTTTATATCACATATTAAATTCTGAAACTCATAATTATATAAACGTGTAAAGACTGAACGTACCAAATTTAAATTCTGAATCTGTCTCCGTCACTGTAACGTCATTTCTACCGTGAAGTGACGTGGAGACACCGTAGTGGCGTGATCCATCAGGGTGGTGCTGTTGAAAATCCTTATCTCTGTATGATTTAACGTTACTCCATTTCTTTTGTAGTGAAGAAAAAGAAGATGAAGAGTCAGTTTTCTTGAAACCGAAGAGTGCTTTGAACCATTTGGATGTTTTGCCCATATTTGTTTCAAATTAAAGACGAAAATTTAAAGACATAAAGGAACTAATACTGACGATTCAGTCCAACGAAAGTTTTTATTTTGCCCATATTGTGGGATAATAAAGAGCATTTGTTTCTGTGAAAAACTGAGAAGCGAAAGTATTGGAAAGAGGAGTGAGTGAATACAGTGAGAAGAAGAAGAAAGAAGAAGATATGTGAAAGTTTTGGAGAAGTCAAATGTAATGTGCTATCCCGTAGGACATTGGGATAATATGTATGACTTCTTCTTCTTTGGATCACCAATAATTTATTATTAAAAAAAAAAAAGCACTGCTTATGTAGAGGATATTATGTTTTTTATGTGCATTTTAATGTGTTATATTTTTCAGGTCTCTAATAGTACTTCTTTTTGGACGATTATATGTAATTATAGATAACTTGTCATAGGTTACAAGTACTTTGGGCATAAGTACTTTACTTTATGTTTTGATGATCTAACAAACTTACCATCCAGAACCAGATAAGGAACCTGTTACACATTTACAAGACCTTAAGATCACAAAGGTCCAAGTTGGGATCCAGCGTGGGATATAACTCAACTCTTCAGAGTGGAAGGAATAGCTGAGAGAACAGGTCCCTATCAGCTCCCGAGGAGACTGTATGAAGTCAACTCTCCAGCTGAAAAGTTGCTGCCGGCACACGCTACTGTACAAGAACAGTGCAGCAGTCAACTTTCTGTGGAAGGCTTTTTGCCTACCTTTCTTACATCAATGTAAGTTATGTCACACATGTATAAATACAATCAAGGAAGGTAAAACAACTTACTTCATGAGAGAACAAGATAAGTAATCTGATACAATTAAGTTCCCTTGCATTCAGAATAACTAGTCAGATGTCTGGTTCAATTCTCAATGAAATCAGATAAGGAAACAACAGAGGGACCAGATAGGGATCAGTTTTCGTCATTGTACAGTCAACTCTACAGCTGTAAAAGCTGTTGCACTGTACCGTCCGGCGGCAGTACAGCTGTAGCTTGCTAAGGCCAAACTAAAAGACACTTTATTACATCATCCTTGATGACATCACACACATATATTATCAACATGAGGCAAGGGATTTCATCTCTCCAACACTTGCAAAATCAAAAGAAAATATTCTCTCAAGTGCTAGCTACAACCTCTGTCAAGAACAAAGCTGCTGCAACCTCAAGGACCAGATCCAAAGATTGAAGATATCTTAAGTCTTTGGGTTTGTTGAGTCTTTGTTATTTGTTCTTCATTTGTAACTCCTACTTAGCTTAGTTAGAAGCATTGTGTAGGAAACCCTTTGTAAATCATAAACCCTTGTGTTTGTGTCTTAGCTAGAGTTAGTCGAGTTGTGAAGTCTTTGTAATAGAGTTATTACAAAGTGGCTTGTAATAGTGTTGTTACAAGTTAGTGAGTGATTAAGTCTTTGTAATATAGTTATTACAAAGTGGCTTGTAATCGTGTAGTTACAAGTTAGTGAGGGATTAAGAGGTTAATTCCTAGTTTACAATAGGTTGTAATCTAAAGATTGCTCAGTAGTGAAGTTGAAATCCTACAAGGGTAGGTCGTGGTTTTTAATCCCGTTGAGCTGGGAGTTTTCCATGTAAAATTCTTCTGAGTTCTTTATTTACTGCCGATTTACTGTGGGAACAAATAGAGAACCTGATTCCATATACTGACAGTCTGTTGCTTACAGTGGGAACTGATAGAGAATCCGGTTCTCTATACATTTTGGTGGACTCTTAGTTTCTATCAATTGGTATCAGAGTGGGTTCTTTATAAAAGGTTAACACCTAGAAAGGATCTACATGGCTGCTCCACCAAACTTCGAGGAAGGACAATCAACGTACAGACCACCAAGATTCAACGGTCAATACTATGGTTGGTGGAAAACAAGAATGCATGACTTCATAATGGCTGAGGACTCCGAGCTTTGGTATGTGATTTGTGATGGTCCCTTTGTCCCTATGAAGTCTGTTGGAGAGGGAACAAGGACTGTTCCAAAAACAAGAAAATAATACAACGGTGCTGACCGAAAAGCTATTGAGAAGAACTTCAAGGCAAAGAAGATTCTTGTGTGTGGTATTAGACCTGACGAGTATAATCGTATCTCGGCATATGAATCTGCCAAGGAAATCTGGGAAGCTCTTCAAACGGCTCACGAGGGAACTACTCAGGTAAAACAGCCCAAAATAAATATGCTTAAAATTGAGTATGAACTCTTTAAAATGGAAGAGCATGAGTTCATTCAAGGATGCATACCCGTTTCACCTCCATAATCAATGAGCTTCATTCACTTGGTGAAATCATTCCAACTAACAAGCTGGTCCAGAAGATACTCAGTGTTCTACCAGGTTCCTGGGAGAGCAAGATTAATGCTATCGTTGAAGCCAAAGACCTGCAGAAGCTGACTATTGACGAGCTTATTAGAAATCTCAAAACATATGAGATGAAGAGAAAGAAAGATCTTGAAAGAAGAGAGACCAATGAGGAGAGGAACCTGGCTCTCAAAGCTGCCCTCACTGACTCAAGTAGTGATGAATCTGAAATGACGTATATCACTCGAAGATTTCAAAAGATGGTTCGTAAAAATGGTGGGATCCCAAAGAAAGGAAGTTCCAGTAGGAATTTCAAAGGAAATGGTTGCTTTCATAAGTGTGGAAAGCCTGGACACTTTATTAAAGACTGCCCTCTTCATAAGCAGGATCATTACAAAACCAACACTGATAAGGTAGCTAAGAGGAACCCGGTCCCTGACAGGAAATTCAAAAGAAGAGATGTTGACAACATGGTAAAGCAAGCTTTAGCTGATTAGGGAGATTCCTCTAGTGAATCTGAAGGTGAGGATGACCAAGGAGATGCATCTATGATGGTTGTTGACAATGAATATGAGTCAATCTTTGCACTCATGGCTAAATCTGATGATGACGAGGACACGGAGGAAGATGAGGTCAGTTTTCTTGATGTTAAACTTACTCTAAGAAAAAATTGATGTCCTTAGCAAATGTGTTGATTGATGCCTATCATAGCCTCATTAATGAGAAAAATGCTTTAATAGAAGAAATTGGTGACATAGAACAAGAGAGGGATGACATGGTAGTTTTCATTGTAGACTTGAAGGAAAAAGTGGAAGAAGTAACTAGAGAACATAACTTGTTAAAAAAACAAACAAAAAAAATGGATGGACAACACTAAGGGTAAAGAAGTGGATAGTGAGGCTCAACTTGAGCTTGAGAGTGAGCTTAAGAAAGTTAAAGCAATTCTTGTTGCTGAGCTTGAAAATAATAGACAACTTCAGGAGGATTTAAAAAATGTTAAATGATCTTGATGAGTCACTTAAATGGACTCGGTCCTCTGATGTAATAACGTCTATGTACAGGAGTAATGGTGGAAACAGGCAAGGAATCGGGTTCCAAAAGGCTAAAACCTCCTATAATCCCCATAGCAAGTATGTAACTGTGGCTGATAATAGGTTGTGCACTCACTGTGGTCAAACTGGTCATTACAAGGACTCTTGTAAAGTTAAAATTCAGTCTCTATAGAAAAATAAAGTTTTTGTTGAAAAGAAGCACACTGTCGAAGCACACTGTTGAGGAATCTAGTCCTCTGAGAGGAAAATATATGTTGCCTGCATGGGCAAAAAGAAGTTTGATCCGCCCATTCTATCTTTGTAAGGGACCCAAGCTGGCTTCGGTTCCTAAGTCTAATCAGTGATTTCATGTGCAGGCTGGAGTGAGAGGTAGCAGTCAAAAAATGATACATGGATAGCTGCTGCTCTAAGCATATGGCTGGAAGAATGGATGATTTCCTCTCACTCTAGGCCTTCCAAGGTGGAAGTATGTTTTTCGAAATGGCAAGAAGGGTTATATTCTTGGTGTTGGCAAAATTGGCAAAACACTCTCCCATGCAAATTGAAAATGTGTACCATGTGAATGACTTGAACTATAGCTTGTTGAGTGTGTCTCAAATCTGTGATAAGGAAAAATGAAGTGAAGTTCTTGTCCAAATATTGCATTGTCACCAATCTCAAAACTGGTGAAGTGGTGTTGATAGCCAAAAGGTTCAAGAACATCTATGTTGCAGACCTTGATTCACTTAATGGTGGTGATCTAACATGCCTAAGTGTCATTGATGATGATGCTGAGTTATGGCGTAGATGACTGGGGCATGTGAGTTTTATTTGCTGAACAAGTTGGTTATGGAGGACCTGGTTCATGGGCTGAAGAAGTAAACACTTCCTGCTACTTGATTAACAAGTGCATGATCAGGTCCCTTCTCGAGAAGTCTCTCTATGAACTGCTCAATGGGAGAAAACTCAAGCTGACTTACTCGAGAGCCTTTGGATGCAAAATGCTTTGTTCTCAACAATGGTGGCAAAGGGTCACATGACAAAGAAGATGAAGATGGAGAATTCACAAATGCTCCCGGTGAAGCTATAGATATTACAAATGGAAAGACTGATTTGATGTGTCAAGTCAAGCAGAGCAATGTAGAAGATACAACAGAATCTCCAAAAGGCACAGAGGGACCTGGTCCCTCGATGATTTGCTATGCTAAGAAGGTTAGGTACAATGCTAAAAAGTGTTTTTCAGCGACATCTAACTCAAAGCTACACTGTTGTATACACATATGGCAGTTCCAGGACAAAACAAGTAAGAGTGACATTGCACTTCTAGGAGTCTTTGCTCAGATTTTCAAAAACTGTCAAGGAACCTGGTTTCTGCGACTCGGGTTAGTAGTCTCTCCAATACTTATATACCTTTTTAAGTTGCTGAAGTGTCATGTCATTAATTTATTTCGGCCCTTCTCCTGCCTCTCTCCTGACTTTTGAAGTCCAAAAAGTTAAACCTCTTCTGAACTGACCCGTAGCCCCAAAAACCCACTTCTCTATCTTACACCCAACCAAAACCGATTCTTTTCTTCAAAATCAAAATCAACCTTGTCTCAAAAAGAATCCTTCTCTCCAAATATGCCAGAAGTGAACCTAACTCTGTCACTTTCCAAAATCCTAACTCCATTTGAATCAAAACCCCAAGAAGTCTTTGTTAGATTTTGATGGAAGTTTAACTGAAAAGGAACAGGGTAGATCTAATATTCTAGAGCGTGAGGCTGAAATTGTTGCTGGATTTGTGGAAGTCTTGAAGGATGGAGAAATTGGTAAATGTGAGAACTGAATGAGGGGCCTGATCCCTCAAGTCCTTCTCAGGAAGTCAATTTTAATGATGATCTTTTTCTTTTTGAGTTTTGTGTTTAAACGAACTTCCGATCCAGTGAAAA